GTTCGAGATAGTGAAGGGATTAAGAAGGAAGCAGAGAATTTTTTCATGAATTTTATGACTGCTCAACCTCTAAATTTTGAAGGTGCTACTTGTGAGAAGCTTCGAGATTTGCTGGGGTTTCGGTGTTCTGAATTAGACTGTCTAAAACTTGTCTGAGACGTCACTACGGAGGAGATTAAGGATGTTATTTTCAAAATGCCGACTAGCAAATCTCCTGGTCCTGATGGGTTCACTTCAGAATTCTTTAGAGATGCGTGGCCTGTGATAGGAAGTGATGTAGCTGTTGCAATTCAGTCTTTCTTCCTCAAAGGTTTTTTACCAAAAGGTATCAACTCAACAATTTTAGCTTTTATTCCCAAGAAAGAGGAAGCCACAGGGATGAAAGATTACAGGCCCATATCCTGTTGTAATGTTCTCTACAAGGTGATCTCGAAGATACTTGCAAATAGATTGAAGAACCTTTTGCCGCAGTTTATTACCCTGAACCAGTCGGCTTTTATCAAAGAGAGATTATTAATGGAGAATGTGCTTTTGGCAACAGAGGTGGTAAAGGATTATCATAAAGAGAACATATCTTCAAGATGTGCAATGAAGATAGACATATCCAAGGCATTCGACTCGGTTCAGTGGTCTTTTTTGATGAATCCTTTGACTGCTCTTGGTGTTCCAGAAAAGTTCGTACACTGGATTTCTTTATGTGTAACAACAGCCTCGTTCTCAGTGCAGATTAATGGGGAGTTGGCAGGATACTTTCAAAGTAAAAGAGGCTTGAGGCAAGGATGTTCTTTATCTCCTTACCTGTTTGTGATTTGCATGAACGTGCTTTCTAAGATGCTGGACAGAGCTGTGAAAGATGGAAAAATTGGCTATCACCCTCGCTGCAAAAACATTGAGTTGACTCATTTGTGTTTTGCTGATGATTTGATGGTCTTTGCTGATGGTACTAAGAGATCAGTGGAGGGAATTTTGGAGGTCTTTGAGGAGTTTGATAGAATGACGGGTCTTAAGATAAGCATGGAGAAGTCGACGCTTTTTATGGCTGGGATCACAACATCAAGGCAAGCAGAGATTCTTGATCAATTTCCTTTTGATTCAGGGAAGCTTCCAGTGCGTTACCTTGGTCTACCTCTTCTCACCAAGAATATGACGGTATCTGACTTTCTCCCATTAATTGAGAGGATTAGGAATCGTATCAGTTCGTGGAAAAGCAGATATCTCTCCTATGCAGGTCGACTGCAACTTATAAAGTCAGTGATTACAAGTCTAACTAATTTCTGGATGGCAGCTTTCAAATTGCCGAGTGGCTGCTTGAAAGAAATAGAGAGATTATGTTCTGCTTATCTTTGGTCAGGACCTGCTCTGAATGGGAAAAAGTTAAGATGGCTTGGAATGATGTTTGTAAGAAAAAGGAGGAGGGTGGTCTCGGTCTCCGGCCTTTGAAGGAAACAAATACGGTTTGCTGTCTGAAACTGCTTTGGCGTATCCTCTCATCTCAATCTCTTTGGGTGAATTGGGTTAAAGCTTATCTTATTCGCAAAGGTTCTATATGGATGGTAAAGGAAAATGTTCAGGGAGGTTCTTGGATGTGGAGAAAGATTCTCAAATACAGAGAAATTGCGAAGAAGCTGTATCGGGTTGAGCTAAAAAATGGTGAGAATACTTCTTTTTGGTTTGAAACATGGTCTCCTCTGGATTGTCTGAACGAACTCTTACAAGGAGGTGGTTACTATAATTTGGGGATTCCTATTGGAGCAAGAGTGAATGAATGCAGAAGACATCGAAGAAGGGTCCATCGGGTCGGGTTGTTGAATAAGGTAGAGGATGAGATCGAGAAGTATAAAGAAAACTGGGTATCAGCTGAGGATATACCTTTATGGCAGGATGGGAAAGGGAAATTTAAAAGATGTTTCTCTGCAGGGGAGACTTGGCAGATTATAAGGGAGAAGCATGTTACTTGTAGTTGGTATAATGTGGTGTGGTTCAAGCATGCTACGCCAAAGTTCTCCTTTATATTATGGACGGTTATTCATGATAGAATTGCTACGGGTGATCGTATGAAACATTGGAGTGGCAATGTTCATACTGCCTGTGTTTTGTGTCAAAACCCGATGGAGACAAAGGAGCATCTGTTTTTTGAGTGCCCATATTCCACTCTAGTTTGGAAGAATCTGATTGGAGGAGTTTTGGGAAATGATTTCACAGTAAAATGGGAGGAGCTGATAAGGATTTGTGCTAATGCAGGGAGGCAGAAATTAAAAGGTTTTATTATCAGATATGCTCTGCAGTTAACTGTTTATAGTATATGGAGAGAAATAAACAGAAGGAGACATGGAGAGACTGCCCTTGCTCATGATCTTCTGGCGAAGATAGTTGAGAAGAATATGAGAAACATGCTGGTTACAATACAACAGAAGGGAGACCCGGATTTGGAGGGAGGATTAAGATTCTGGTTCAGTAAAAGATAGAAATGTCTTTACATTTGAAACAAGATGAAGTTGGGGCTTGGATTCGATTGGGAGGTCTTGATGTTTGTGTTTTTTTGGCCAGTAGAAGTGAGAGCTGGTACCCAGTAGGAGTGAGAGCTGGGGTTAAAAAGCCTAGTAAGAGTGAGAGCTAGGTACTCAGTAGGAGTGAGAGCTGAGTTGGAGTGTTTCTCAAATTTTGTAGTCTTTTGGGGTTGCTTGGCAGAAAAGAAAAAAGGGGGTTGCGAGTTCTGTAGTTTTTCAAATTTCTTCTTTTGCTTTCTTTATTCAGAAACATTTTGTAAAGATCTTTTTTTTTAGTTATAAATTTAACATTTTGATTAAAAAAAAAAAAAAAAGTGGGTCCGTTGGCTCAAACTCAAATTTCAATTATGAACATTGACATTATTACATGCAGATGATGATTTTGAGAATTTCTTCCTATCTTCAACTGTTGTGTAACTTATTCTTTTTTGAAGGTTAAGAATACACAAACCAATTTGAATTCTTATGTTTAATATTGTTTATAACGATCTTCAGTTAATCTCATATACACCTGTTGCGTAACTTTACAAAAACATAGAACGATCACCTTTTTCCGACATTCATCTTATATACTCGAACTCAAATTTCAATTCTGAACATTAACATTATAGACAGATGATGATTTTGAGAATTTCGTCCTATCTGCAACTGTTGCGTTACTTTGCAAAAACATAGAAAGATCACTTTTTCAGACATTCATCTTATATAAAAACGATCATATTAATACCAACTAATTGACTAGCGATTTTTGTGTGCATGGGGTGTTGATCAGTCTCAGAGTAAAATATTCATTACTGTATTATCTATATTAACGGGAACTTGAACTATATAGCTACCATTCAACCACCTGAGACACTTTCTTTTAGTCTGGGTTACATTCCACACATTTTTGATCGATTCCCCAAGCTTTTCGTCTGGGTTATCTAATAATTATCAGCATCTCATCAAATCGTTAGGGCTAAGAGACGCTTGTTTTCTAAACCTCACTATAATCATAGGCAAGATCCCTTTCTTCTGTAATTCTACAACTACATTTACCCGTCGAACCTCCCTTTTCGAAGCATTTAGTTATTCTTTAACGTTTGTGGCAGCCTATGCTTCCAATTCAATCATATGAACTCCAACGTATTTTCAGTTTTGGTTTCCCACCAAACAAAATAGTATGGCTCAATAGTTTCTTGGAAGCAGACATGATTTGGTCTTTGAGATCCGAGGAGGCCCAAGTTCCAAGTTTTTTGGGTCAATCACTGTTAAAAATTCTAGTTTGTGCCTAATTTTATTACAACCTTGATAACAAACATCTTATCTATAAATAAACTTTTTCATGTGTGATTTTTTAAAATTTAGACTATCAAATTTTATTAAATGTATTTGATTATGACTAATAATATATAAAATATTTGAATTACTTTAATCATGATATATTTTGATATCTTTTCATCTTCAATATAAAGATAATTTATTCAAAAATTCTAATAAATCTGTTTTAAAAGATTTTAACAATATTTTAATTTTAAAAAATTATATTTTAATTTTTTAAACTAATTTCGAAATTAATTCTGAAATATTATTATACACTAATATATTCAATTATCGTTTATAAAATAAAAACAAAAATTATGTCCTATTTTATCTATCACATAATCATAATTAATCATATTAAAAGAAAATTATTATATTGAGCTATACATGATAAAATCATATTAAATTGATGAATTTATATATTTTATTTTCATAAGTATAAAATATTTATGCTCAAAACTAAAATAGAATATGTTGATAAGACAGGTTAACATTAGCAAACTATATAATATATGTATAAAAATTAACAATTTCATTAAAGCTAATTATCTAAAATCTTTGTAACTATTTTACTGATGATATCTTTCCATTTTAAATATAATTTATATATTATATTTTAAATTTCTAATAAATCTGTTGAAAAATGTTTTAAAATTATCTTAATTTTGAAAAAGTTCCTATAAATATTTTCACTAATTGCAATGAACTTATATTATGCATTAATATATATATATATATAGTTATCCTTTATAATATAAAAATTATAATTGTATTATAATTTTATCTACTTTATAATCATAATCATCATGTTAAAATATAGTTTACTAGCTAATATTGCCTCTAGATTTTAGGAGATAAGATTGGAAACTTGTTTTTCCTTAGTGGATTTTGCTTGCAGCTTTGAGTAGCCATCATACACAGATACAGAAGCCCAAATGTGATGAGACTTAAAAGAAGCTTTTAATGGGCCTTAATGACGTGTCAAAATCAGGATCGTTCACTTTAGGGCGTCAACTCGAGAATGTTCCCGCGTTCACCCGATAAACTCTTCAGTAAAACTCGATACAACAAAAAGTTAACCGCGGTGACACAAGCAAACGCCACGTGTCACGTAACGCCCTCTATTTTCTTCCTCGCGTTGATTTTCTTTTTTTGTCCCACTCAGAGCCTTTTGGGTATCTTGTTCACAAGGCGCGATTTAGGTCTCTCACTCCTCAATTTCAAACCCTTCTTCTCCGGCGTAAAAACCCTAGTTCTCCTCTACAGTCTCTACTCCACCGTAAAATCCAACGATGCTTCCCCACTCGTACACCGTCGATTCCCTCTCGCAATCACAAGACCTAGCCTCCTCTATCCTCGCAGCTTCGACGCCGCCGCAAATCTCCGCGGCTTGCTCCTCCGTCGAATCGTTTCTTCACTCCCACACGCCTGATCAGTGCCGCCATTTCTTCTCCATCACGTTCCCGAGCTTAATCTGCAAGATCTTCGGCTTCGGCGACGCAACAACCGCTCCGTCTCCGTCCCCGCCGAACGGTTGGATCGATGTAATCGCGGCGGTTAACGACTCAGATCTATCGGGGAAAGTGTTCTCTCTCTTATCCCCTAGTGGAATACTCATGAGCTCGATCTTTGCCGTTGATAAGCTTTCTCTTGTTAAGTACGTCTTCCCTGTAGAGCGTTTACCTGAGTATGCTCGATTCATGTTATCAAGCGAGAAAGATCGAACCGCGTTATCGAATTTGTGTCCCTTTCTGAAAGGTAAAATCGAGGAAGGTTCGTCTTGTGAAGTTAGGCTCAACGTTTTCGAGTATTACATGTTTTGGCTCTCTTATTATCCGATTTGTAGAGGAAACAACGATGGTTCGTCTATGAATATGATTCCTGTTCAGAAGAAAAAGATGTTTAGGTTAGAGAGTTGGACGCGTATCAGAGGCTTTCCAGGGAGTAGTGGCAAACGTGATTCAGATCAGAAGCTGGAGTGTAATCTCTACGTGAGGATTCTTTACTCTTATTTGAAAGAGTTTGTTCCTGTTTTTGATTTGAATGCGCACCAGCCTTATCGTAGCTCTCTTTTGCAATACGGGAATGGGTATGATGGGTCGGTCATGGCGAGAGCTGAGTTTTTAGTGAATCTGTTTGTTCACTATTGGATTGTTGAGAATGACTTCTCGCCGTTTCCTGTTGTGACGGCTAAATCGTTTGGTGTGGGGCCTCCTTTTCGTTCTGCTGTGGAGGAGATTCCACCTACTTGTGGGTTGGAAGAAGTTGTGAAGTTGCTTGTGAAGTATCTGAATTTGAGCTGGGTTACAAGTGGTGTTGGGAGTGAAAACTATGTTGAGTATGGTGAGAGTCCACGGTGGAAGACACCGAGTTCGGGATCGTCATTCCATGTTGCTAATTTGAGTCTAAGGCCGCTCACTTCATGGAATACCCATTTGCAGAGGCCTCTTTACCGATATATATTGAGGAGTTTCTTGTTCTGTCCCATTGGGAGTTCTATTAAGAATGCATCTCAGGTGTTCTCCATATGGGTTACGTACCTGGAACCATGGATGATCAGTTTGGATGATTTCTCAGATCTAGAAGCTGCTTTAAATGGATCTGTAAAGGATGCGAAAAAGGAAGAGTCTTATGAATCACGTGGTTGTGGATACACGTCTTTGTGGCAGAGCTATGTGATATCAAATTATCTCTACTACAGCTCTCTGGTTATGCATTTTATTGGCTTTGCGCACAAGTTCCTTCACACAGATCCAGAAATGATAACTCAGATGGTTCTGAAGGTTTGATCCTTTGCTTAAGCTTTATTTCTCAGACATGGTTTCATGTATGTGTTAGAATATGGATTGCAAGATTTCTGTTTCTAAATCTTAACGTGACTGAATAAATCTATTGTGTTTTTCTAAATAGGTGATGAGTATATTGACATCGTCCAAAGATCTTTTGGTTCTGATGAAGAATATTGACAAAGCCTTTCACTCTAAACAATCTGGACCAGGAAATTCAACAGTGAACGAGTTCTCTAAATTTGTTCCTTCTATCCGTGAGCAGTTGAAGGTATGCCTTTGTTTTTCCTCAATACCATTTGTTATCTGTTCTCTGGGGAATCATCATAAAGTAAACAAAACACTGCAGATGCAACCCCTCAGTACCATTTAAATTTGTCATCATAGCACCCTTGGAAATATGGGCGCTTACAACCAACACTTTTGTTGGAGTAAACAAAACACTGCAGATGCAACCCCTCAGTACCATTTAAATTTGTCATCATAGCACCCTTGGAAATATGGGCGCTTACAACCAACACTTTTGTTGGAGTAAACAAACCACTGCAGAAGCAACCCCTTTGAAATTTATGTTTAATTGCTTTTTGAAATTCAGGACTGGGAAGATGGGCTGTGTGAGAGCAATGCTGATGGGTCATTCTTGCATGAAAACTGGAACAAAGACTTGAAACTCTTTAGTGATTGTGAAGATGGCGGACAACAACTGCTTCAGGTTAATGTCTTCCCTCTGTTATCTACTGCAGTGACAGTTTAGTAATATAAAGCAAAAGAGGATAGTATCCAGAACTGTGTTTGAAGATAGCTGTATGTAAACATACTTCAAAACTTGTTCTTCTGTTGCTGTTTGTTTCAGTTGTCTAGATGTATCGATGAGTCCTTAACACCCTCGTAGCACACATGCTTTCTAATTCCGGTTGAATAAACACTAGAATCCCGTAACGCAGAGGCAAGTGGAGCTTTTAATGTATTCTACATTATTCTTACGGTCATTTTTTGTTCTTTGCTACTATTGCAGCTATTCATACTGCGCGCAGAAGTCGAAATGCAAGCTGTGCCAGAGAAGAACCTCTCCGAAGCCCTCAAGTGTGTAGATACACTAAAACAAGTGGTGTCAAACTTCTTCGGCGGGCATGTAATAAAACCAATCGCCTTTTCCTTAGATCTGGACCATCCTCAGAAAAACCGTGACGAGCTCTTCAAGCCACGCGGTGCTATGAACCAAATGGCAAGCAGCGTGAAGTACAAAGGAGACTGGATGACACGTCCCGTGTCAGAAGACGAGGTTGCATGGATGGCGAAGCTACTAATCAACATCTCCATCTGGCTCAACGAACGTCTGGGGCTAAACCAACCTGAGACCAACAGTGACAAGAAAGAGAATTCAGAGTCAGTGTCGTATGTAGATGTATCTGAGGTGGATTCGAGGAATGTCGCTGGACCTGGAGATGCTGGGAGGATGATGCTGCGAGGGGTGGTGATGCTGTTTGGTTCGGTGTTGCAGCTGATGAGAAGATATGGTGTTCGAGTCAACCTCCGGGTCATGGCGTCGAAGAAGTTTCTGATGCTTTTATTTCTATATGTCGTGTTTGTTTTACTCAAAAGGTTTGTCACTAGGATGATTTGGTAGAATGTCCACGTATAGTCTGTAATGAGTATAGCACAAAGTACAACGATGACCCTCCTTCTCATGGAGAGGTTTTTAATAGCTGTTGGATGGAGTTTTTTGGTAGTTACGTGTTGCTGCCACTAGCTATTGATTGGTTTTCTTTTTTGAGACGTGTCTTTGCTTGTCGCAACCAATGAGAGAACTCCACGTAATTAAATCCACGTGTCTTCCTCCAGTGAGATCCACCGTTCGCAATTTTTCTTAATCTGTCGTTCGTCGTGTAGTAGCTGACTCGCCGAACACCTCTTACTCTGAATTTTCGAATTTCTGATCTGATCGTTCAGAGATTGAGTGGTAGATTTTTTGGGCCTGCTCCGATCCTTGGAGAGAAGTGTTAACATTCCAGATTATCTGTGGTCTTCACCACAATGGCCGCACCGTTTTTCTCAACTCCATTTCAGCCATATGTCTACCAGGTCAGCTTCTTCTCTCTTCGATCGTCTCGCTATGATTTGCAAGATGATCATGTATTTAGTTTGCAATCTGATTGTATTTGAGGCTCATTGTAAGTAGGAGTTAGATAATTCCATGCTGATTTTGTTGTCGCCTCCTTCAGTTAGCTTCAATTTCAATAAGCAAACGCATGAATCCAGCCAATTGGTGATAATTAGATTGGCTAAAACTAATATTGAAACCTCTCCTCGGCCATAGTTTTTAGAGAAGATGTGATTAACCCATTGATAACAATGTTATGTTATCTTATAAGTGATCATGTGATGCAGAGTCAGCAAGATACAGTCACACCTTTCCAGATTCTTGGTGGTGAAGCTCAAGTCGTTCAGGTAAAAGAGCTTTCATCTTTTCTTTTTTTTTTGCGTTTATATGCCTTATCCTCCTTTAAACTCTTACGACCATTGATCGTTTCTTGGCAGATAATGTTAAAGTCAGAGGAGAAAGTCATTGCTAAGCCTGGTACTTCCCCTGTAAAATGACTTCTCTCTTCAGTTTTTTTTTTAACTATTGATTTGTGTTTACTAAATTGTTACGGTGCTGTAGGTTCCATGTGCTACATGTCAGGATCCGTGGAGATGGAAAATACATATACTCCTGAGCAAGAAGTTGGAGTCTTGCAGTGGATTTTGGGCAAGAGTGTAAGCAGCGTAGTTCTTCGGAATACTGGGCAAAACGATGGATTTGTGGGTATTGCTGCACCTTATTTCGCTAGGATTCTCCCGGTTTGTGATTTTAAGCTTTTCCATTTTTGCCATTTCTCCTCACCCTTAAGTTTGCATATGATGTGTATTTACGATTTTTTGGTTATTTGATTTCACTGTAGATCGATTTGGCTATGTTTGGAGGTGAGGTCTTGTGCCAGGTAGAGTCTCTGTTCTTAAATTCTTAGCTTCTTCCTCATTCAAATGAAGGTTCTTTAGAGTTTGCGTAAGTTTAAGACCTTTTGTATTTTTTTTTTGTTCTGTAGCCAGATGCATTCCTTTGTTCCGTCAATGATGTAAAAGTTGTCAACTCCGTTGACCAGAGGGCACGAAACGTAGTTGTCGCTGGTTCTGAGGTAAGAAGAAACCATTCATTGCGCTGACCTTTACTGATATGTTTCCTTACCGAAGAAAGACTCGCATATTAACTTGATGCAGTTTCTACCAATCCCACAGATCCTTGTCTGGCTTCTACTCACATTAAGGTTGTTGTTGTTGTAGGGATTTTTGAGACAGCGCTTATCTGGACAAGGTCTTGCATTTATCCTCGCAGGTGGCTCAGGTGAGGGTTTTATCTCAACCAAAATGCTGTTTTGTGTTTACGCCTTATCCCCAAAAAGAGACTGACATTACCCATCCCAAACATGTTAAGTTGTACAAAAAGTTCTGGAGGTAGGAGAAGTTCTCAACATTGACGTGTCTTGCATCGCTGCTCTCACTCCCTCTATCGATGTCCAGATCAAATACAATAATGCTCCTCTGAGACGAGCAGTATTCGGGGTACATTTACACCCTCCCTTGCATCCTAGATTCAGGTTCTTTGTTTTGTTCCTTCTCTCATTTATCTGACTTTCTCTGTGCAATCCAAAAGGGTGACAACGTAGTAATGGCGACTCTAACGGGACCAGGCATCGTCTTCATCCAAAGTTTACCGTTCCATCGGCTCTCACAGCGTATCGCAAGGTAAACCCAACAATCCCAAATCTTACTTTTGGTGGCGCTTTGTTTGTAACAAAAAGATTTTGGTGACAGGTCGGTGACTTCACCAAACATGAGAGAGAATCCAAGGTTGTTGATACAGATAGCGTTGTTTGCGTTCCTTGCATACGTAGTGATTCTATCTTCGTTGATCTTAACCGATGTTTGAAAACAGAAAGAGAGAAGAAGTTGTGCTTTTCTCAGACCACACAACAAACTAACGATGTAATTGTCTCCACTTAGCTTTTGGGGTTTTGGACGTTTGGATAGAACGAAAATGAAATCATACAGCTCACCGTTTTCCTTTTTGAGTTACGAGTGGGTTCAGGCAAATCTGTTTAGTTACGAGATCAAATAACCTATTTTTTTTCTTTAGTAACTAGCCTTTTAAAGAATTGTTGACCGTCTCTTACCTCTGAGTTAACGTGAATTTAAGTGTGTTAGCACTGTTTTACAAAACTAACATGTGATACCACATTGAAGTGACTCTCTCAGTCCACGTCACAAGGCTAACTAGAGTTATAGGCCCTATATTGGCCCAATTTGCTCTAGCGCTTCAATTGTTTTTATATATACCCCTAGTCATTATTCTAAACCCTAACTACAATATCCTTGTTGGAAACTTGAAACGATGGAGATGTCAGATCTTCCGATGGATCTGGTGGAGGAGATTCTATCAAAGCTTCCAGTTACATGAATGAGAGCAGTTCGGTTAACTTGCAAGAAGTGGAACACTTTATCCAAGAATCAGAGTTTTGTTCAGAAACACATTGGTGAAGAAACCTCATCTAAAAGAGAAAGTTACGTGATCATGGTGATGGACCATAAGGTTTATTTGATGGGAGTCAATCTCAATGGAATCAACAACAAAGCCGATCCATGTATTAAACACAAAGGTAAACTTATTGTGCGTAACAACAAGTTCAACACTACTTCAGACTCGGGCAGCATATCTACAGTTTTACAGTGCGATGGTTTGTTGCTATTCGTAATGAATATCTCTATAAGAAGGGTTACGTTGTTTCAGTTTGGAACCCATATCGTGGGCAAAGTAAGTGGATCCAACCCATAACTTACGCTAAATGGGAAACTTACGCTATAGGATACGACGAGAAGAAGGACAAATCTCGTAGCCACAAAATCTTGAGGATGGTGAACGTTAATATTGGCCCCTACGAGATGTATGATTTGAAGTCTGATTCTTGGAAGGTTCTTGCTATCAACACTCCACTAGATGGTGGTGATATTTGTTGGATAATTAAAAGCCATTTGGGCTTGGTAAATTTAAACGTGAATTAGAAATGGCCCAATTCAATATGGCACAAGAATGAAGCTTGTCCCACATCGGGGAAAAACAAGTGAGAGAGAGTTATATATATATGTTCTCATGTTATGAGAGTGTAAACAGCACAGAGGAGAAGAAGGTGCTCCACGCGCGCGCCGCCGCCGCCGTCCGGCTCGGCTTGGGCTTGGGCTTGGGCTTGGGCTTGGGCTTTATTAGAGATCTTTGCCAAATCCCCGCTTGGGCTTGGGCTTGGGCTTTATTAGAGATCTTTGCCAAATCCCCACTAATGAGCACACGTTACGGGAAGTTGCTCCTCGTCTTCTCTTTAAATATCAGCTCTCCTCTTTCTTCATTCTCAACTTTTTCACGCAAGTAATCCAACAGAAAACTCCCAAAGTAAGACGAATCAACTTTTTCTCTAGAGAGTGTTTCGTAATTTTTTAGTTCGTTAGGTCGTTTCACGAGTGAAGCGTGATTCGTCTGCCATGGTTGTATCCTGGGACTCAATATTCGTACAGTTTCGTCTCACTACGGAGCGAATATTAAGAGTTAAGGAAAGAGATTTATCTCGCCTCCATGTCTCATATAATCGTTGTTTCCTTAACTCCGTCTTTCT